CCCCCCTCTCTTCCCCCCCCGTTTTCCGAGAAAGGAAAGAAAGCCAAGTTGCCAGCATAGCAAACCTAGATTATATTATATTCAATTCTGAACGAAAGGAGGATGAAAAAATTCCAAATGCGGCTTCAAATAAAATCCAGAGATATGGCAGAGTCCCTCCCATATGCGTATCACTGTGGGCTGACTGAGGGGCACCAAAGTGCCTTGGAAGTATGAGCAACCCCATTAGCCTGAAACCAGGCCCAGAATCCAGTTTGAAACCAGGTTTGAAACCAGGTCTGAAACCAGGCCAAAAGCGAGTCCGCTGTATACGGTGAGTTGTTTGTTTGTGCGCAGTCCCGGATATGTAGCGCAATTTCGGACTGAGAAGGAAGTTCTGCTGCAGGCTAAGCATGACTACCTGGAAAAAGGTTTGCGTCGGATTGGCAAGTGGCAGGAGAGCGGCAGTATCGGGAAGGGATACGCGATTCCAAAACATAAGGATTTGGAACGTTTCCGCCCGATCTGTGCAACTTTCAGTGAACCCTGCAACCCAGCGAGCAGGAAAGCTGCTAAAGCTCTGAATTGCCTCTTGAATGGCTTGCCCGGAAAGATGCATTTTAATTTGAAATCGGTGGGCGATCTGGCCGGGTGCCTGGATAAAATTAATCATTCTGTGGAAAGACAGGGTCGGGGGATGAGGGTTGTGGGGGCGTCGTATGATATCAAAGACATGTTTTCGCGCCTCCCCCATGACTCGATCCTTGCTGCGATAGACTGGTTACTCCAGTGGCATTCTGATAAAGGTCGTAAATATGTCTGGGTCAACCCCCGAGGACGTGGAGCTTCAGTATACCGAGTTGCAGGGGATCTGGGATGGTGTAGGATCTCTTTTGAAGATCTCAGGAATTTCGTGAAGTTTAATCAAAGGAGTCTTAATATAGTCTTTTGAATTTGAGAAAGCGTGAGAGAACCTGACTGGGAAGAAAGTTGACGGAAGCTGAAGGGAACAGACGTGAGGGAAAGCCGCAAGGCAATGGAACGCCATGAAATCAATGGAGGAGGGACAGTGCAATGAGCACGAAAACGAGCAGTCTGATTACAAGGGTGTGGTGGGAAAGACGTACGAGGTTCGGATATGGATGGTGAACCTCTCACTTTTCTTGTTTTGCAGTTCGTCTATTTGATAGGCCGTGATTTGGAGCCTGAGAGGAACACAGTTGGGTAGGGCAAGCTGCCATCCAATCCTCCTCCCTCTCTCCTACATGGGAGTAAAAGTAATCGATGTCGTCGATGTCGGTCGGGGATCCGTCGGCCATACGGAAGGAAGCATGAGCGTGCACTCTTTATCCATTTCAATCTTGACTTGCGGGGGGAACAGGAACCGGACTGCCGCTCCCCAGAATGAAAAGGAGCCAGGACCATAAGGACCTA